ATAATATTTTAATTTATATTATTTCATTTATTATGATTAATTTTTTTTAATTTTATTCTCATTTTTTAGAAATTTTTTGTTTAGTTTTACTTCGCTTCATTTCATTAAAACTTAGTTTACTTTATATTAACTAATTAATTTTACTTTAAATACATATATATTTATTCAATTATTTAGTTTACTTTTCTTTAAATTTTGCTCATTTTATTTTATTTCTATATTAATTTAAATTTTTTTTAAATTAAATTGACTTTATATTAATATTATATTTCATACCATATTTTAATTTAATTTAATTTATTTAAATTGATTTAATGTTATATCGATTTGGTTTGAAATTGTTTAAGTTCATTTTAATTCTAGTTTGCTGTTTTATTATTTAATTTTATTTAATTAAATTTAGAACTTTTTAAATTTATTTTAGTTAAATTAATTTAACTTAATTTTTATTTTATTATTTTTATTTTTTTTTTATTTTTTTTTAATGTAATTTATTTTACTTTATATTTGATTAATTTTATTTGACTTTTTTTTTGCTTTAAATTATTTATTTAAATTGCATGTAAATTAATATTTTATAATTTTGTTTTAATTAAATTTAATTTAAATTTTATTTGAATTAATTTTATTTAATTTAATTTCGTTTTATATTACTTTATTTCATTCAAATTTTTTATTAATTTCATTCATATTTTTTATTTATTTATTTTGATTATTTTTTATTTATTTTATTTGACGATTTTTTATCTTATTTTTATTTTTTTTAATTGATTTTATTTTGCTTTATATATTTAACTTAATTATTTCAAAATTTTTACTGATTTTTTTGGTTTTTTGAAATTCAAATTAAGTTTTTTTATTTAATTGTTGATCTTATATAGTTTTATTAGATTTTATTTTGATTACAGTTTTTTAATAAAATTTCATTTATTTTAATTTGATTTGATTTACTGCATTATTTAGTTTAATTATTTTACAATTTTTACTGAATTTTTTGAAAATTAAATTAAATTCTTTTATGTTATTTAATTGTGTAATTTATATAGTTTTTTTAATTACAATTTTTTTCATAAAATTTCTTTTATTTTGATTTGATTTACGGCATTATTTAGTTTAATTTATTTAACTTTTTTTGCTGATATCTGAATGCGTAAAAAATTCTGTTTTTAGGTTCTCTTTCTATGAAAATTTGGCATTTCTTCACTACACTACGATACACCCTGGATAAATTCATTATGAGTTGTGTTTCCTTTGAATAAAAAAATTGATTATCTATTAAATTCGCAAATTTTTATTTACTTCTTACACTTAAGTTTAAAGTTTCGTTTGTTCTTCGGTGTTTTTTGCTTAAAATGTTCTCTTTGTTGATTAACATTTTTATAATGAATTTTAAATGATTTTCTGCATGAAGTTTGATGTTGAAAATCTAGTGTTTATATTTATGAATTTGTTTTTGTGAATTTCTTTAAACTAATTATTTCACCCAAAACCAAAAAAAAAAGAAAATGGAAAATAATATATAAATACAAATTTTTGATTTAAAAAGTTAATGAAAAGAACTTTACTCCGCATTTGACTTCCTCGAAAATATGCACCAAAAAAATATATATAAATAAAAGTCATGTTTTTTTTTTTTGTGTAAAACTATAAATGTAAGCATATATTTTGTGATATTTGTCGTCCTAAATACATATGGTAAATTAAATAAAAAAAAATATTCTTAATACAAATACAAATAGTTAAAAATTGTGAACTTATTGCATAACTCACTTTATGAACATCCACTAAAAAAATGCATGCTTATGCATGTATACATGTCGATATATGTATGTATGTATATGATTTTTTCTACAAATAAATACAACGTAACATAAATGCTAAACGGCGATGAGCATTAAATCGTATTTATTAACAACAAATTTCATTGTTTTAATTAAATTAAGAAACAAACGAATTACAAAAGTAAAATTAATTTCAAAATATGAACGAGATAAATCAAAAGCTTAACAAAAAGGCCGCGAATATGTTTGAATGATACACACGTATATATAATATATATAGGTAAGTATATTGCTAAAATGTCTACATGTGTTTATTTATAAATACATACATATGCACACTGTCTTACAATATTGTTACACATTTAACTTTATTCATAAAAATATATGGAAAATATTGTTTGCGTACATTAAATGCGCTTTAGATTACATATGAATTCAGCATGAGTTTTCTATAGTTGATTATATTTGTTTTATAGCAAATTTCATACAAATAATAAGGATTATTTCGAAAACTGGTTTAAATCTGTCTACAGAAATTTTTTCTTTTAATTTTAAACTTTATGTTAGTTGATTAAGGTTTTGGAAAAACTACACTCTCTTTCGTAAACACAAAAATATGAATTTTTTAAATAATTAAATAGAAATGTTTGCTTAAACTTTTATAAATGAATTCTTGCAATTTTTTTCTTAATTCAGTTTATGCAATTATTTGTTTGAAAAAAATATATTATTAAATTATTATTTAATTTAATTAAGATTAAGGCGCATAGCAACAGAGGCTATCGGCATGAATTTAATTTAAAACTATTTTCTTCACTTCACTTTATTCCATTTTAAATTTTCTTATTTTTATAAAGTTTATTTTCATTCATTATTTACTTTAATTTATAATCTTTATAAATTTGTTATTTCTTTTTAAATGTGTTATTTCTTGTTATTGTATTTATTTAGGTTTTGTTTTATTTATTTATAATAATTTTGATTTATTTTTAGTGTTTTTTGGTTTATTTATTTTTGTGTTTTTATTTATTTAACAAGTTTTTTATATTGTTTTACTTTAATTCATTTAATTAATTATTTCATTTTATGATTTTCTATATTATTTTAGTTCACTCTATTTAAATGTAGTTGAATTCTATTTCATTTATATATTTTTGATCTTAATTTTAGCTTATCTAATTTTTAATTTAAATTTAATTCCATTTAATTTTCTTTTACTTTACTTGCTTTGTTTTATTTTACTTTTATTTATTTGACATATTGAAAACAAAAAAAAATATAAAAAGGAAAATAAATAAACTAAGGTAAATTAAATGATTAAAAAATATAAATAAAATAGAATAAATAGAAAATTATTCAAACAATTAATTAAAAAATTTCAAATAAATTTAATTAATTATTTTAATATTATTTTATATATTATTTGAATATTTTTCTATATATTCTTTTTTATTAATATTTTTTTTTTAATTTATTTTTTTCCCCTATTTGGTTTTTTTATTTTCCTTTTTATGTATTTTTATATTTCTTTATTTTGTGTTATTTTAGTTTAACCAATTAACTTTATTCAATTTATAGTATTTATTTTTTGTTTATTTTCATTTATTATTGATTTCCACTTATTTTTTTATTTAATTCCTTATTTTTAAATTTTTTATTTAATTTTTCTCATTTTAATTTAATTTATCTCATTTTAATTTAATTTTTTCTCTTGTTAAACTTTATTATACCTTCTTTAAATTTTTATTTTTATTTAATTTTACTATATTTTAATTTATTTTTAATTTAAAGTTAAGCAAACAATTATATTTTACTTTACTTGGACTTATTTTATTTTTTCCCATCTTTTTTTTAATTAATTTTTCTTATTTAAGTTACGTTCAGCTAAATTGTATTTTATTTCTTATTTTTTAATTATTTCTATTTTTTATTTTATAATATAAAAATATATTTATTTTTGTTATTTATTTAGGTTTTCTATGTTTTTTTATTATTTTTTATCCAATTTTAATTAATACTTAATTTTTTATTCAATCGCATTTTACTATATTTTAATTTAATTTAATATAAATTATATATTATGATTTATTTAATTTTATTTCTTTATATTTTTTATTTGCTAAGGTATTTATTTTTTATTTTATTTAGTTTACATTAAGTTTTTTCTTCACTTTTTATTTTATTTTTTTTCTTCAGTTTTTCTTTAATTTCAACTAATTTTTTATTTTATTTTAGTACACTTTACTATTTTTTAATTAAATTAAAATAAATTAATTATTTTGATTTATTTAATTTAGTTTAATTTAATTTAATTAATTTTGTTTTATTTTATTTTATTTTATTTTATTTTATTTTATTTTATTTTATTTTATTTTATTTTATTTTATTTTATTTTATTTTATTTTATTATTTTATTTTTTTTATTTTATTTTATTTTATTTTATTTTATTTTATTTTATTTTATTTTATTTTATTTTATTTTATTTTATTTTATTTTATACTTTATTTTATTACTTTGTTTATTTTTTTTATTTTATTTTAGTCCATATGCGTTTAGTATTTGTATATTAATTTTAATCTGCCATTCATGTATATTTATCTTTAGACGCACATCTTGAAAAAAGTAATTTTTTTCACTTACAAACCTTAAAAAAATTGTACATTCGACATACTTTTGTTTTCCTCATTTATATTTAATATTGTAAAATTTAAATTTAATGCTTATTTATTTTAGTTTAGCTTTTAATATTATTATTTTTTTAATTAAATTAATTTTTATTTCTATAAATTAATTCAACACAATAATTAATAAACTTATATGCTTATATACATACAAATGTATATCTAAAAAAGGCGAAACACATTTTTTCGGCTTTAAAAATCAAAAATTTTTTTTCCCACGCCAAATAGAAACTGGCTATTTCACACATGAAAATGCATTTTTCAATCTTTTCTTTTTCATACAAACGTAAAATGTCTTAATTTTTCTTTGGATAATTCTTAAGAGATTTACAATGTTAAATAGAAATTGTACAAAAATGTTAGTAATATAAGTTATGCGTTAAATTAACATTACTAATAGCGCAACTCAGCAACTGCAATTATTTCACATCAATCAATCAATCCAACCATCAATCAATCGCGCATACAACATTTATATGTATAAATTAAATTTATTTAAAGTTTTTATTTTACCATAAAATTGTATTTCATGTTCTGTTTTTTTTTTTGTTGTTTACGTGATTTTGTATATATTTACGTAGCTATGTATGTATAGATAAACAAATGTTTGAAGCATACAAAGATAAATTTTTTTCTTTATTAATTTATAGTATTTGTCAATTTTGCAATTTATATTTGTAATTTATATAAAAAATGTTTATAAGATTTTTGAAAATTAAAAAAGATCTTCAGCTTTTCCTGCTGTTTTTGTCATTTTCGTAAATTTGGCTAGACATAAAGTGTTTATAAATTTGTTTGCTATATTTTTATGTGTTATTTTTCTTACATAAAAACATATTTATATATAGTATTATATTGTAAAAAATGCGTTTAAATTATCATCTTTCAATTATATATTTTTTTAATAATTTTTTAATTTTAATTTAAATTTTTTAAATTTTTATACAAACATACATATGCGCACATACACTAATGTAGATATTTAGTATATTAAATATTTTTTTTATAATTTCCATACATTTAAAATATTTTTTTTTTAGTTTACTATTGCATTTGCTTTTATGTATTTATGTACATATGTACGCTTGTTTTAGAAGTTATTTCTTTTTAAGTTTTTGTTTTCCTTTATCTTTTATATACTTTATGTAGATACAAATTTTATTTTTTTATTTTATTTTTATCCGCTTTAATAAATATAATTATTAAGAGTTTTGTGAACGAGACTCGAACATCGCCGTCATATCACGTATGGAAAATTGTGGTGAGATCTTCTCACGGCTGGAATGAGTGCAAAACAAGAAAAAAAATATTAAATTTGGATTTTGCTAATAAATAATGAAGTTTATATATATGTTTCATTGAATATTTTTAGATTTTTTTTTATTTCAGTAATAAAATTTATACCAAAAGGAGGCAGTCTAAAGGATTTTCAACGCATCAGCCTCCACTTGTTTCGTCTAAGAATGTTTAAAGAGCCGCATGGCAGCCAAGTACGCTCAAAAGACAGCCAGCCGCAGATTCTCGAGGAAGCAGCTGATTTACTCTAAAGGCATACGATACAGCGCTCAGCAATATTGATGAAGAAATAGAGAAAGAGTCTGTAAAATAGGTTCTTCAGTGCGGCTTGTACAGTCAATAGTGCAGCTATTGGAATACTCAGAAGCAAGATTAACTTGTTTGAGCTTGCCAATGCCTGAATTATCAGGTAGATTGCAAGTGGTTCCATCCACTAATGCTTTTCCTTACAGAAAATATGCTAATCCAAGATTGAGGGGTACGCATTGTAGTATGCTACCACATAAGAAGGGATGCCACAGATGACATAGTGAGATCGCCAGCAAAACAATTCGAAGACATCCAAAAACCAACTTGAAATTATGAGAAACTGGTGCAAGGAGAGTGAATGGTTGTCAACTCAACAAAAATCAAAGTGGATCTCTTCACCAACAGGTATAAATAAACCATCTCATCAACTCACTCATCACTTCTTCTAAGAGGTAGGAAATCACTCCCCAATGAAGTCAAACGTCCGCGAGATAATCGTAAGAAACAATTAACTCACCCGTCTCTGCAACGGGGAGGTGAAGGAAAGCTATAACAAAAATTTAAGCCTGCAAAGCGGTCTTTGGCCTATTTCTCACCTTCCAGAATCAGAGAGAGTCACCGTAACTGACGGCACAAAACTCGATGTTAGCGTAGGTGGTATGATACTCTCGCTAATACTCTCCATCAATACGAACAGGAGCGAGTTCCAGAACACTATAGCGTCTTTCAAGTAGAATTTATTGTAATAACTGAAAACCACTGAATGGCTACGAACCTACCGTATACTCTGTCAGGCATCGTGCTAAGAGAATTGTGTCTGTTCAACCATACTGATTTTCGTCGCAGCTGCAAGAACAAAGAACCTAATAAAGTCACACTGCTATAGCATACACACGTGGAAGCAGTGAGTAGTGGTTCCAGTACTAAAATCTCATGAAACTACCAAACCTCAAATCTCACCTTTTCGCTGATCTCATATGCTTTTCCGTGTGCGAGCTTGGCTCACAAGACAATCACTCATAAGTTATGATATTACGCTCTTGGTGCCAGCGAAACGCATTTAAGGAAAACTCAAATGCTTCAAAACACCGCCTTCAGAACCATAAGGGAAAACCTACTGATCTCGCCTGCGAGACATTTATATTCATAATGAAATATCAGTTGGAGTGCCAGCGTAGAGATCATTCCGTCACACCAGGAGGGACTCACTCCACTGAAATGCTGCGAGAGCTGAGTAATCGAGATCGAACCTTACTTCGGGAGAGCTGAGTAATCTTGAGAGAAAAAGCTTTGGATATTGTAGCATATTAAACTCACAACTATGCCGACACGCCCCCAATAATCCGCGTACTATGAGGTACCACACTAACCAGCTCTTTGCCTAACCCTCAGACAATTCATTTCTACTACTTCATATCTACTCATCTAATGTTCCTTCCCCTGCGTCTCTCTTTAGAGTTTACGAAGAAGTGAGCTGAGTCAATACTTACGTTGAGGTTAGACTTTGCCGACTGGTCGACAAAACCGCAACAGCTCCAACACCGCCAGCGCCACTATTGCTGCCCCCGATCAATTCATTTCCTCGGCTATTCCGTTCACGCGCCGTTGCAGACACTGCCCCCGAGCCCATTGTGCCATTGGCGAGCTCAAAGCTCTTCCGTTCGAATTTCTGTACAGTGGCGCGTGCGGAGTACTCTTCCTGCATGGGAATTTTTTTCGCAGCCACCGCAGACACAGTCATATTTGCCATGTCCATTGTTGTGTTGGCCAGAACGGTATTGGGAGCATTTGCATTTGTCGCATTGCAGTTATTGACCGCTGTTGCTGTTACTGTTATTGTTTTTGCTGTAGTATTTGCATCACAATTTTGATTTTTCTCATCGGAAATGCTACGCACGCGTGGCGAATGTAAAGTGCTCTCCGAACCGGCAAGTAAACGAGCACGTCCCAGCAATTCTTTAACATTTTCGTTCTCCTGCTGCAGGGCGCGCATGTCTCCGCGTGATTTCGACTTGACCCGCAAAGATTCGGGTGCATTGAACTTGTCGTCGTCCTTGTGTGATGATGTGTGCAGATCGGTTTTCGAGCGCGATTTGAAATTCGTCGTATCGCCACGATACTTCTGCGTCAGCTGCTGACGACGTTCCTCTTTGATTTTATCAATGCGTTCGCGATCGAGTTTAACACCAGAGAGCACTTTGAGACTGCTCGTCGAGAGGTTCAGATTGGAGTTGCTCAAATCGCTAGCGCTGGCGTTAATGGCCGCGGCTGAGGCGGCACCACCCGCCGCGCTTGAGTTGACATTATTTTGTATAAGCGAAATTCGATTTTCTGTGGTGGGCGTGATTTTCAGCTCGGCTGTTTCGTAATCATTTTCCAAAGCCGCATCGGCGGCGCAACGATTGTGACTCTTTTCCAACTTGAGTGCCGCCGGTGGCGACGACTTTTCGCTCTTCGAGAGGCAGACCTCCTCGGTGATTGGTATGCCGGGTAGGCGTTTAGGTGGATTGAGAGTTTTGGGGCGCGTAAAGTCGAAACTTTTGCGTCGATTCATGACCTCGGCCAGCTCGGGTAACTGTTGCGTGCTGCGTGTGCTCAACTCCTGTAGCTGCTTAGAGCCGAACTCGCGCACAAAGGCATTCTCGTCGAGCGAACGTGTAATTTGTTGTGATTTCGTCAACTTTTGCTTGGGATTTGTGGCATCTTTTGTCGCCGTCTGCTCGGCGTTCGAAGTTAGACTCGTCTGTGAGGCTTTCAGCTCGGCCACAGCGGTGCTGTGCTTCTTAATCGAGTTGCGAAAACTGAAATCGAACGCAGGCAGCTGCTCGACGGGCGAGCTTTCGAATTTGGTGGCGAGCTCTTTAACGCTGAAGTTTGATGGCGATTTGCGTGCGGCGCTCTCGACCAGTCCCGCGCTGTGCGGTGGCTCGTGTTCACGCGCTGGCGTATTCACATCAATGAGTTCTGCACACTCCACTTTCGTCAAATCTGTATCGGTCTTTAAGCTATCTAAACTATCTAGATCCACTTTGTCCGAGGTGGCATCGAGCTTTGCAGCATTGGCTTCTGCCGTGCTCTTCAGCTGCTCGCCCAATATATTTGCATACACACTTTTGGGCTTGCGCAGTTCCACATTTTCATACAGAAGACGCTCATCTTCGGAAGGTTCCTCCAGACTGTCCAAAATATTTGTATCGCCGCTCATTGGTACATCAGTGCGTCCACACCGTCTCGAAGCTTTATTTTTACGGCTTGCTTGCCGTTCATCACCCAATAACGGTACATTTTCGTATGCGCTAAAATCTTCATTCTCATTGGTCTCTTTCAGACTTTCCAACGTCAGCGAGCTCTTGCGTTCATCACTCAACAGCTGATTCACTTCGGTCACAGAATTCCTGAAGAATCTCACTTGCTCGTACACCGTATTCTCGTCGAAACTTGTCTCTAACAGTGGGCCCTTGGCCTTTGTCTTTTCACGCATCACAACAAACGGTTTATTCGTCTGTAATTCGTCACCACGTGGACTACGCATGTTATAGGTTATGCTAATCGTCGCACGTATCGGACTTGTTGGCCCACCAATGGGTGGTGGTTTTTGCGCGCCCAAGAGTGGTGATGTCATGTTGCTTGGCGTATTTTCGTACTCCTCGTACGCTGGCGATTCCGCTTCGGTTTCAATCAGCGAATGCATGCTCGACTGACGTTGTAAATTTTGATAACCGAACTCGCTGGGCGTCACCGATTGACTAGTATTGTCCGTGAAATTGGAGTTGTTTGGCGAAGGTATGAGTTGTTGCGCCAGCTCTCGTTGTCGGTTGTAGGGCAGTGTAGCCGCATGTCCAGCGTTACCGTTTCCTGCGCCACCGTCTACGCCGTCGATGGTCATTTTAGTGCTCAGAGGTTGCAAATCGAGTGAGAGCTCACGTTTGAGTGCGTGCATGTCGCGACGTTCCGGATGCGAAGCATTTGTGATGTTCGAATGTGATGTGAACTGTGGGGGGAGAAGGAGAGACGAGTTTATTAGTTAAAAAAGAGAATACTATCATAAAGTAAATAAAGTTAACTGAGAACTTGTCACCTAAACCTGATTGGGTCGCCGAAGAAGTAACGACCCTTGACCAAATGAAATCTAAAACAACTTCGAGCAGACAAAGCCAAAACTCTGACAGACCTTAAACGCCCATAACAGAGAGAGAAAGTGTCGACCACCTCTAAGGCGAAGACACCGTGCTGTACTCTAAGACCTGAGTAATGGTGGCACAACTAAAATTTGGACTTGCTCCTACTAAACCGCCTCCAAATATCCCCCTACTCACGACGACATCGACTAGCTTGAAACCTACTTCAAGACAGGGTCACCCAGACGGTACAACAACAGTCTAAAGTTGGGCCCCACCTGAATTCAGTATGCTCGAGCAAGAATAGTAATTGATCTAATATGAAGGGGCCGATGAAGACGTCCCTCAAGGGGTTGGGTGAGCAGGCTAAAGTTCGTGGGCTACCATATCTTCCTTTGACCTGTTCTTCTCAACCTCAGGGAATAACGGTTGTGGGTATAGTTTCATGATTCAATAGCAAAATGTGTATAGAGCCGAGGTTATCGGACCTCTCCTCCACCATGGTGGTTAGTGCGTACATTCAACCTATTATTTTTACCAGGCTGGGTTGACTCGGTCGACATATAAGCACGTAAAACTCATCCACAGATGCTAACCCTTTATGAGACGAGAGAGAGAACTCATTCGAAACCAACCCATGGCTTTACAAGTCTTTCTAAAATACTGGATTACTGGACATTGTTGTTTGTTGAAAGTTAAAATATGAGCTCGTCATTGGTCTGGCGATGCTTAACGGGAGCTAAGAGCAAGTTCGGTATTATAAATAGTATTAGCTTGGTATCTACGGAGGCAAACATGCAGAGATATGCATGCTGAGTCCAAATATGACAAAACTTCAAACGGTAGTAAGGGTCGCTGATAGGATCAGAAGGTAGCGGTAAAAATGTCTATTGAAAACTATAATCTTCCTTACATTGCTGCCAAGACTTTCATGTGAGGTGCCCAAACAGCTATTGTTATCCACGCCCAGCAGTAACGGCTGCTGCTGTAGATGCGAGGAGGCGCCCGAATGCGCCGACAAACCAGACATAGCCGAGGTAGCCATTAGCGGTTCCAAGTCATATTGTGGTGTATTTACGGCCGAACTATTCTCCGAGCTGGTGTCGCCAACCAACAACGAGTAACGTGGACTCTGCATTGGCGAGGAGGGTGTGACCGAAATTTTCGAACGCTCCATTTCCTTATGCGCATCTTTGGTTGTCATATCCTGAGAGCTCTTGCGTAGTAGCATGGAATTGATTGCCTCATTGGTATTGCAATAGCTGTTGCGATTTTTTGGACGCATCAAATCGGGTAGATTTTTAGGCGCATGTGTATGGTTGTTGTAGTTTGTTGATCTGTGGAGGAGAAAACAAATGATCAATAGCAAGTTCACACATTTACTGCACCAGCAACTCACCTGCCGTAAGGTACTTGTGTGATGCTCTCCAATTCGCGCTTGGCACACAACTCTTCCTCGAATTGCATGCGCGCTGCAGCATCTTTTGCCGAGAAGCGACTTGTATTGTTCAAACCCGAGCCTGGATAGCTGAAGCGTTCTTTGAACGAGTCCTGATCCTTGCGTTTAGCACCCAACTGCACAGTGGGATAGCTGTAGCGTGTGCTAATGATGCTACCACCAGCCGCAGCTGCCGCGGCTGCACCGGCGCTTGTCTTTTTGTCGCCCACTTTAGCGCTGAGACCATATTTCTTCTCAAATTGTGCTGCCTTGGCGCTAATGGCATCCTGCAATTTGCTAGTGCTCTCCGTCGAGCCGTAGAGTGAGTTCTTGGATAGCGCAGATTTGGGTGGCGCATGCACTTGCACGCTGGCATAGAGCGTCTGCGGATTAGCAATGGTATGCTCGGGCGTGCCACAGTCAATATATTGTATATCGGATAGTTGATCCTCAAGCTTATAACGTTTGCAGCAGCTCTCGTCGCTGGAGAGATGTGCGTGATGTTCGTGGCATACCAACTCATTACCGGCAGCGTCCAGCAGCGGGCCTGCTGACGCACCAGCGCACTGTTGTGGCCAATTGTGTGCGAGGGCAGAGGCCGCGGTCGGCGACAGATGCAAATTAAGACGTGGCTGCTTTTTGGGGCTGGGATTAACGCTGTTCGTTTGACTGGAAAATTCCTCGGGGCGAGCACGTAATATGCGACGCGATGCAGCGCCCGATGAGGGCGGTATATTCTCTTTGCCGACGCGCGGCGAGCTCACCAATGACTCGCTTTCGGAGAAGATGCGCATTTCGGGCTCCTCGCGATCAAAATTCAAACCCAATTCGGAGAGTTCTCGTGAAGGACACGTGGTGACGTGTCCACGCTGCGGCGACTGCAGCAAATCGAAGTAGGAATCATGTGAAACGGAACGTGAGTGTCCAGCTGTGCGCAGACTATCGATCGAGTTCGAGCGCACACAAGCTTCCATCGGCTTGCCCACAACGTCGTCGCGTCGGGAGCTCGTCTCGAATAGTTCAATCGATTTCGGTTTCTCTTGTTTGTGCAGCGCTTTTCCAACCTTACCGGCATTTGAGATAATCAAATCGGCCTCCGCGAAGGTGACCTGCGTGTGACTGCCATCTTTACTGCGTGCAGGTGGCGCATCAGTGCCTCCTACCGCGCCCACCACGGCAATCGTCTTCATATCATGCGCACCATTGCTAATCGTACGCTGATTACGCGTGAAAAGTGATTTCCAAGAATGTGTTTTCCGCTTCTGCCAGCTACGTGGCACCGATAACACAGTGTGATATTTATCCGGCAGACTAGAGGGTCCACCGCCGACCTCAATGTATGAGCCAATATTGGCGGCATTACTTGCGACCATATTGATGGGCATAGTTGTCTTCATATCCAGTCCGTCGATACGTGAGTGTCGCTCTTGTGCCTCTTCCAAACTAATAAGCTTGGGCCCACCAGTGCTGAGACTTTTCGGGCGCTCCATATAAGTGAGCGATTGATCGTGTTCGCGTTGCTCCACCAACAGACTTTCACAGTCGGTTAACGAATCGAGTCGATTGGTGTCGTTCGCCGGTGTGGCACCAGATGTGGCTATATAACTCAGACGCACGTTCATGTCATCGAAGGCGTCGAATATATTGTGACAATTACGTATCAGGTACTCGGTGACGACGGCTTGAACGCCTACACCGCGTAGTGCGGCCACACCACCCGACTCGAGTGCGGGTGAGCGTAGTAAGTTTGGTGCCCAGACGATGGCGAGATTCTTGTCAGTCATGCTGGTACGTGCCGAGTGCTGGGAGATACGGTTCAGATGCTCGGCTAAGTATTTGAGTGTGCTGTAAGGGTGATGGAAAAAACAAATATGTGGTAAGCCATATATTAATGAACTGCGCGTCGCTCTACGTCATGCTCTCGCGCTATCACTACTTACCGATAATGCGGTGGCGGCAACTTCGAGACGGTTTCCTTCATCAGCCGCAGTCTTTCGTTCGACTCGCTCTTTTCCTGTATGGCCTCAACGAAATTGTCATACAACTGGTATGTGCACAGCGGGTTCGGTAGCTCGCGGAAGTACATTTTCAGCAGTGAGCTGACCGCATGTATGTCTTGTTTCATTTCTGGATTACCCAAGTCGGGTATGCGTTCTTCGTCGAATGCGCGTCGCAGCTTCTGTATGTTCGATGTGATACCCGAGAGCCGATAGATACCATCCACTATGCCATACTCTTCAATAAACTCCGCGCAACATTTCAAAACCATTGGTATCTCCTGCCCGCTGTTGTGTAAATGCTCAGAAAGGTCACAGGAGAAGACTCGCTCGCGATAGATTCCGCTTTGTTTGAGCCGGCGGCGTGATGGTCGTGATAGTATGAATGAGCGAAAGAATGCAATCAGCTTGCCATGTTTACGCAGTACCGGCTTTGTGGGCGACACATCCAATTGGCCGACGAGTGGTGCGGGCATGGGAAAATGACGCGGCACCTTATCGCCGATTGTGGCAACACACGACTGCGGAAAGAAACCAACTTCGTATTGTGACTTCTGTAAATGCGACTTCTTGCCACGCCACCATATCGATTCAGCCGGACTGGGCATATCGATGACGGAGATCATATCGCCAACTTCAATGGAGATCTCATCGGAAGCTTGCGCCTGATAGCGTCGCACGCCGTAGGCCGCGCCCACTGCTGGCGTATTAATGGTACGCATGGTATCACCGTCCGCCAATGGTAAGCGTCGTCCCTTATTATCCAATTGCAACCAGGTGAGTATTGTGCCACACGTCAATGAGTCGGAAGCGATTTTCGAGAAGCGCTCTAAGTATTTTGCTACTGCATACTCAACATCTTCTTCGCTCTTAAAATCCATTTCCTCTAAATTCTTCAAACCGCTAATTTTACGATCGTACACACAACGGTGCAGCATCTCGTCCAACATTTGCATATTGTCGAAGGAACGTTTCACCAGAAATGGATCACAGCTGTGTGGGAAAACCTTTATGATAAACCAACAATTCGCTGGCGAGAAGGAACGGTATGATGATGGACCAGTGCCGCCGCCACCGCCGCAGCTGCTACTGAGCGCCTGACCGAGTTGTGTGCCGGCGATGTCGCCGCCAATCGATTGTGATGCAATGCTGCTGTTGAGCAATTCAGATTTATCGTCCATCAGGCGCACCGAAATCGCGCCCAATTGTACGCGTTCATAGTGGAAGTGTGCGCATTCTTCGAGTTTCGGAAAACGGCAGGATTTCTGGAATGAGCAAAGAAGAGCGGTTGAGTTGATTAGTTTCAACTTTATTAATGAAAGAGAGGAAAATTATTGAAAATAACTAAGAAATAACTAATAAACGATTCAGTGAAGTGAAAGAGGATCTTGGACCTTCGGTTTTATGCCTCCAAAAATGGTTTGTCTCCCCTATAACCCTATAGCTTTACGCCAAACCTTCTGGTGCTTGGCAAACTAGCGGCTTTTTGGGAGGATGCTCAACGCATCGAGCTGCTGCTCGACGTCCTTGGTACGTTGTTTTAGAGTGCACTCCCTGACGGACCGATGGAAACAGTAAAAGGGATACCAAAGCTTCCTGCTTTTCCTACAAAACTGTTTAGCAGCAAAGCAAGTCTGGATAGTCTTTCCTGAGAAAACCGAGAAGCAATGAAGTCACTTCTCCTGTTATATAAGAATTCAGTGCACCAGCTCCTTTGAGACACGAGACCAGTCGGCCAAGCGGAATGAAAACAAGGTTCCAAAGCTCCATGCTTACTCAAATCCCAATTCGAACAACCTACTTGAGTTGTTAATGGGTAATTTCAGATGTCACTTTCTTTCACTCTCAAGAATAGATCAGTAAGACCAGAAGCCTCAAAGACATATTCACATTTTCTCACAAGGACACTAACAATGTAGTTATAACAGAAAAGTATTGAGCAAATGTTATATGACTGCTTTTAATATGCAAGAGGAAGCTCCGCATACCTCTACAAAGCAGCTGTGATTTCCTTTGGGGGCACATTAAAGCCACAACAACAAGTAACTTACACACACACACAAGAATACTTAGACGCAGATGCTTGAACAGAATAACTTACACAAAAGCAAGGACATTCCAATACTGTACGAGTATACATAGCGGTATAGGGAGCAAATGAAAACTATTACAAAGTGAAATTCTTCAAAGAGAGAGGTGAAGGGCGGCAGTATGCTGAAAGAGTGTATCAATTCCCTTTGGCCATGATGAAGTTATGAAAATATTTTGAATGGTAAAAGTTTTGCAAAAAACAAAAAAAAAGTATTAACAATAAAATGCTTTGTGTTATCAGAGAAAAGGAGAAAGGCGATAGGAAGGAAAAATAGCCAAATAGCTGAGAGAAAGTGACAAATAAAAATGTGTAAGTATTTAAACATATAAAGTACGGTTAGATTTACAGCATTTTCATTTAAAAATTTTTAAATGATAAATTTAATTTAATTTTATTTTAATTTAATTTTATTTTAATTAAATTTTATTTTAATTTATTTTATTGAACAAAAATTTTGTATTCTCTTTACTTAATTCCATTTGACTTTATTTATAATATTTGTTCTTTGTTTAAATAGTTTATATCATTTATACTCTTTTTTCATTTTGTTTTTATTCCTTTAGTCCATATTCAATTTTTTATAAATTGTAGTTCATTTTACTTTATTCTTTTTATTTTTTTTTTTAATTTTATTTTTTTTTTATTTTACTTTATTTATATTTATTATTATTATTTTTTTATTTCTTAATTTTTATTTTATGTATTACTTCATTCAATTTTATTTATTGGTTTTATTGCATTAATTTAACATCGAACATTTAATTTTACCTCCTTTTTTGGTTTTATTTATTTTATTAAATTATTATTTATTTAAATTTTTTTTCTTTTCATTTTTTTTATATTTTTATATTATTCTTTTTATTTAGTTTTTTTTTTAATTTAATTTTATTTTTTTTTATTTTATTTTTTTTTTAATTATTTTTTTTTAATTATTTTTTTTTAATTATTTTTTTTTAATTATTTTTTTTTTATTTTATTTTTTTTATTTTTTTTTTATTTTATTTTTTTTATTTTTTTTTTATTTTGTTTCTTTTTTATTTTTTTATTTTATTTTTTTTATTTTATTTTTTTTTTTTATTTTTTTTTATTTAACTTTTTTTATTTTTTTTTT